AGTAGAGAGAAGAGAGAGAGAGAGAGAGAGAGAGAGAGAGAGAGAGAGAGGAGAGAGATAGAAGAGAAGTGCAAGAGAGAGAGAGAGAGAGCGAGAAAATGTATCTTACCGGAAGCCCGTGACGGTGGCCCACAGTGTCCTGTGGTTATTTATCGAGGTGGTATGGAGTGCGGCAGTGGGAAGGAGGCCGAGTTACCGGTCCTCGGAGATACAGGCTCGCACTGCCACACAGTAACCGTTGGGACTACGCACGCTGTTGTCGTTGATCGATGATGTTGTGGTTGGTCGGTCGATCGAGCCCACGATTCGTCGTCGATCGGGGTGTCGGGATGGTGACGATGGCCGACGGTGGCGTTTCGACCGAGCGAACCGAGCATTTTGATCGACCGTGCGTGCGTGTACGCATGTCAGAGATTGCCGGACGGTGCCGACCGAGAAAGGAGATCAACAAAGATCAACAAAGATTGGGATAAAATTGGCAGAACACCGACCGGTCGAGTGGGCGTTCTTCGTCAACGGAAGTCAATGAGAGAAGACGAACACTCAATAATAATAATAATAATAATAATAATTATAATAATAATAATAATAATAATAATAATGATAATAATAATAATAATATAATAGTGGAGAACACGATCAGCGCAAATAGCTTTTTGGCACTTGGCGGTTTTTTTTTTTTTTTGCTGGTTTCAACGTGGTGAAACGAGGAACCAGGCCTGGCGTGGTATTTTCTTTTTTTTTTATTTTCAACACAACGTTTGGAGAGAACTCGCAAAGAGTGGCGCGTTGAAAAGGCACGTGTGAAAGGGGGGAAGATCGGGGGGGAGTCGGAGAGAAGAAAATCGGGATTTTCGGCGATTCGTTCTTCTCTCCTCCATCCGTTTTCGACCACCTTTGCTCGTGTTTCCTTTGTTCGTGTACATTTTTTTTTTTTTAATTTTTTTTTTCTTTCTTTTTTCGCCAATCGTATCGTTTCTCTCGATCTTGTCGAATGATATCGGGTGTCTCAGGCTGGCGCACAGGCGGAACGAGTACTGAGCGGACAGGCAACAGCGGCGCAACAGCGATCGCACAGAGATGAGCATAGAGCACAGATCATTGCGACGGATGAACTTTTGGAAATGCCAACTTCTCCAATGAGTATAGACAGACAGGCAGGCAAAGATATATATATATATATAGAATGACACCCGGTTGTTTAACGCGAGGCAGATCTCTACGATCTTTTCCCTCCCCTTCCGAACGAACGATCGAACGATCGATCGATCCCTTTCAAAAATTCGTTTTCGAAACTTATACCTCGAAACACGTGATAATTATACACATATACACACACACATATATATATATATCTTTGACTCGAGTGAATCGTGACGTCCAAGTTCTCATCCTCTTCATTATTACGTGTGTCACTATTACTATTACTCTACGAAACTTTCATCGCCACGTTTCTGATCACGTTTAAGATACACGTGTACGTGCTTTACACGGGATCGATGCCAACAACGTAGTACAAGGTATATTCTCCGAGCAGAGGACGCCAAAGCTTTCTAAATATCCGGTATCTTAAATCTAGTTTATCCGTGAGCTATTGCAGTCACGACAGTTGAAGTCTCTTTTTTCGAAGCGAATTATCGCACATTTGGAACGCATAATTGGCTCGAATAACGTTAGTTCTTAAGGATTTGTGCTCGATCGAATCAAAGAGAGAGATATTTATCGAATATCGCGAAGTTATCTCCATCGATTGTTAAAATCTCACTTCAGAATCAACACTTCAGAATTCTAATTCAAATATCATCATCGATGCGCCAAAGTGTACGAGGCTCCCTTCCAGGCCGATCCGTTTCCGGTTCGATTAGTTATTCTCCTTTTTCCTTTTCTTTTCTTTTTTTTTTTCTTTCTTTCTCTTTTCACTATTGACACTATTCGAACGTGACGCCTAACTTGGACGAGAAAAATTATTATTGCCAGGATACTTGTTCGCTCGGTCAAATCGCGCGAGATCGATGGAGGACGTGATCATCGATGCACGGAGGCACACGGAGAAAAAGAGTGGGGGAGACAGAGAAACAAACAGACGTGTGAAGAGAGACATGGTGTCGCACAGAGAAGAAACACACATAATAGTGTAAGATAATAAAAAAGGATCGTGAAAATGATGTAATGAGAAAATGCATAAAAATATATGTACACAAATGATACGGACCTACACATATATATATATATATACACACACATAAAAAACCATTTTTCGTTAATAAAAAAAAAAGAAAGAAAATACACCTTCGTAATCGAAGAGAATTTTTCTTTAATCAACCCTTTCAAACGCGTCCCTTTCTTCAGTCGAGAATGGAATCGTATCGAAGGCGTTCGACGATCAAAATCCGATTTCTAATTCGGTTTACCCTCGACACACACACGGATACATACATGTACGTCCGTGCACACACATTTATTCGCATGCGTACGATACGCACGGCGGCGGCGGCGATGAGGAAGATTCGATCTGCTTCGATCGGCTGGTGGACGAGGATGGATCGAGCCGATCGACGATCCAACGATCGAGAACCGTGGTGGTAGTGGTGGTGTGTGAGAAAAATAAGAGAGAAAAGAGAGAGAGAGAGAGAGACGAAGAAGAAGAAGAAGAATACAGAGAATAAATCGACGACGAGCGTGTGAAAAAGAGAGAGACAGTCAGACGGATAGTAGACAGACAGGCAAACAATCGGCGCGGATGGATGAACGAAGTGACGAGCGGGGCGAACGATTCGGTCGGTTTAGGCGAGAATGATTAGGCCAAAAAAAAAGAGGAGAGAGAGAGAGAGAGAGAAGCAACCATACTCACGGCTCTCGCGTCTTTTGTCTCCCGAGAGACTCATCGTCCTGCCAAGCTCCCTCTTGGCCGCTTTCAGCGATCGTAGACCCTCCAGAATCTCCTCCGGATCCCTCATTGGCCTGGTGAACGAGCTCCGTCGCCGATCTCGGTTGAAGTGTATCGTCGGCATCTCGGTCTCCCCCATACTTCCGCCTGTCAAAATCGTTACTATATTACTTTGCACGTTCCTTCGAATCGACAGATCGTTGGAAAGGTGGCTTCCTGTTCGAAATCTCGAGAATTGTCGGATTTTAATGAAAGCGATTGGGCGAGAAAGTATGTTGAAGCAGTTAATAATTAATAATTCCTGAAGATTATTACGAAAATTTGGTGACTTATTATACATATATATAGAGGTAGAGTTTCATTTGAAAGGTGAAGAGATCGAGTGAACAGAAATGAATTGGGATAGGGTTTGAAAACGAAGATAGAAGTAGAATCTAGTTCGTGTTTGAGGGCAAGGACGTGTAAACAAGAGAAGAGAGGCGTCGTGGATGACCTAAAATTTCTCGCCCGTTTGGAATTTCGATTTTCAACCCTGACCCGATTTTTTCATCAACGTATGAAAGTAGAAAAGTCAAACAACCGTGATATATTCTAGCAGTGATCGTTTTTTTGAACGAAATGCTTTCTCGAAAAAGAAGATCCGATTATTACAAATCTTACTTTAAATACGTGAATACACAACGTGTGGAATCTGCGTCGAATAAATTAATATCGATTGTTCGACGATTGTCGATTGTTTGAACGGTGAATTATTTGAAAAAATTTGACTCGAAGTGGCAGAGTGATTTTAAATGCTTGTAAATTTTACACCTCGTCGATCTTTTTTTTTTTTCTTCTTTTTTCAAAGAGAGGTAACCTCGTGACAATTTATTTCATTTTTTTTACACTTTATGGAAAGAAAAAACGAAAACTCTTCGACACAGAAATAGAAGGGATTGAAATAGCAACGAATATTCCAGCAGTGAAATTTTACTGGAGAACTCAACGGAAAAATAATGGTCTCTTGTTCAGCTTTTAGATTACAATGTATGCTCTCACATTTATATTCGACTTTTTCCAGATATCGACATTTCCATTATCTATTTTTTCTTTTTTTTCTTTCTTTCTTTTTTTTTTTTCCACACATATTTGTTTCCTAATAGCATCTCCGTCTTTATATAAGAACGAACGTGTACAAATGCAAAATTCTTCTACGAGAATTTATAAACGCGTTAACTGCAATTTACAACTTGTCAATTTTACAACGCAACGATATCATAGAAAAATAAATGTTCGAGTAAAAGTAACAATAAGATTGATTATTAATTATTTATGAACGAATCCCGTAATAGTTGAATTAAATTAAACTTAAAATTCTGCTAGATATATATCAGAATCAGAATCGTATCCCAAATTACAATAATTTTGTCAAAAATGTTTTCAAATATTAAACAATCTGTTTTCGCAAACGTTTCATAAAATTTCAATACACAAAATCCTTTGCCCGACTAGTCGCAAAATAAAGCTCGTTCAACAATAAAAATAACGATGGTAAATGGTTTCAATTTGCCCGATAATAGATGTGAAAGATAAAATCATTATGAAAAGTGGCGACTCACGTTTACTGTCAGTGCCACCTTGGCTCTGGAAGCTGCTCCTTCGGCTGCCCGGCAAGGATCTACTGTAATCCCTGTTAAGTTCGTACGGTTCGACTTCTAGCTGCTCGGATTGGCTGGATCCCCTTCTCGAATTTGCATGCCAGGCGTGATCCGGGTGGAGGAAACAGAGCTCCGGGCTTCCGCTGTCGCTTTGCGTGTCGTCGCTGTAACTTCTTTCGCGCAGCTCCGTCTTCCGCAGCAACCTTTGGGCAATTTCCATGGAGAGGGAGCCTCGGGGGGAACAGTAGGGCGATTTGCACGCGCGAAGCCCACGCGGGTCTTCCAGTCGATACCTGCCAACCGTTTCCCGATTATACGTAATAAATTCTCGAGATGTAATTTCGAATGTGGGGAATGACATTGTGAAGAAATATTTATTTTATTTCTTTCTTATTTCTACGAATCGTAGATATTTCTTGTGAAAAAAGGAGGGATCAATATTTTTTTTTTTTTTTAAGAAACTGACGAGAGCCTTGTGATCTAGCTACGAATGACTTTGTACGTTAATTATCATCGATCGCTTGTAAATTCTGAAGATACTCTTGGAGATGTGGAACGAGCTGTGTTACGGTTATTTTTAAGGATTCGAGAAATATGTACGATATTTGTTTCTTATTTGTATCGTAGATAGGTATAATATAGATCTTTTGGATAAATTTTAGGGCCAATATTTTTCGAATTATCGAACATATTTCTTGGTTTTATTTTTAGCGATTTGAATTTTGAAAAATTTTTAAAGATCTGAACGGAGATTTGATCACTTTTATTGCCTATTATTTTGTAAGAATATTCAGCAATATTATAAATTTTTGATCGCGAAACGTAGGCGTATTTTTCTTTTTAAATACTCTCTTTAAGTCAAATGTGGCTCGAAATTTCATCGATACATGTAAACACTCCGTATACGGATTGACTGTTCTGTATCCAGCTGAAATGTTAATCATTAAAATTTGAAGAAAAGTATCGAAAATACGAGAAAAATTGTAGGTGGTGAAAAAATAGAGAATGGATGGAGAGTGTCATCGTTTTAATCATTCGGCTCGTATATGCCGATATCGTGTGTTTATCTTTGGAAAAGTTATATACCAAAGTTATTTACCAAACTGCTCTGTCGTTTTCGAGGGCCCGTTCCAAATCAACGGTGCATTCGCCGAGAAAAACGTTGTCGCCGTCGGGGCAGAAATCCCAGAGGGTCACCTCGATTGCCCGCTTCATCAAACTCTCCCCGTCAACCCCGGAGAAAAGCAATGTCGCATTCCAAATTGGCTTTTGACTTGGCTCCGCGACCACGGTTTTCAATGTAATTTGATCAGCGCTGAAACGTACATGTAATCAGACCTTGATACACGTATGAAATTTTACACGATAAATTTTACACAAGAAAAAAGCGACACGAAACGACCGCTTTAATTAATATCGTCCCAACGTGATCCTCTAAAATAAAATAATCCTCTCTTTTCAATTGGTGAAAACGCGTATCGAAAACCATATCCCTCGTATTATGCTCCACCACTTCGAGAAATGTGCTTGGAATGCAGTACAATCTTTTTGGCGAAGGAACAATCGGCAAAACTGCCTTTCAACTTCTTCAATCACCTTTCAACTTACTAATCCTTCGTCGAAAAATTCGTCGGGATGCTGCATTCTACCTTTTCCAAAGTATAAGTAAACCATAATATGGATATGATTTTCGATAAGCATTTTCACCAACTGAAAGGAGAGGATTATTTTTATGAAAAACAAAATTAAACGCTAATTTTATCGTATATGCTTATATATCTATCCCTCCGTTAGAAATTCTTACCCGATCGGAACCAGGGCCAATTTGGCATACGCTTCCGGTAACGTGCCGTATCCCGTGTCCTCCCTTGCGCACAAGTCGTCTGCCATGAAAACGGAGACTATCAGCTCCTTGCGATCCGCCTCGTACGAAACTTGTATCTGTATCCGGCCGGTCACCTGCTTCTCCTTCGCTATCTGCTCCTAAAATCGAGGAGGCAGCACAGAGTGGTGTGAAGATCCCGCTCGCGGATCGATAAATAATAAGTATCTAATAATAATAATAATAATAATGGCGAGTATACGAATGAACAAAGACGTGATCTCTGTGCTCGAAGCGAAGAGAGAATCGAAGATCGTGAGAATCGAGCTCGAGTCAAGCGGTGAGAAAGAGATTCAATTTAATCGGGGGAAGAAGATAAGAGAGAACCGAATCGAAAGATCGTACGTCTGTGTTGCACGCGTAACACTCGTGGAAATTGGAAAGCGAATTCTCATTCCCTCGCATGCGCAAGCGAAAGGTTTTTTCTTTTTTTTTTTTCCAAGGCTGAAAGCAAACTATATGCGCGATATATGCACAGATTGCTGATTAGAAAATTACGGGAAGAAATCACGACATATATATATATATATATGTAGCTGGGGATGCATGATATACAGCGGGTGATCAGCGATGGTTTTGATTCATTTTTTCTTTTTTTTTTGGATATTGATGAACTGAGATGCCGTGTTAACGATAACGCTAACGGAACAATTCTGTTGTGTAAAAGCTTTCTTGAAACGGATGGGAGAAAGAAACGGATAGATATGCGAGAAGAGAATTTTAAGTGTGTCCTCGTTAGATGGTAAATAATTGAAAGGTTCTTATAAATGGAATTGCTAGCAGTAAATCAATATCCGAGTGTAAAGATGTTGGTAACGATTGAGATAATTTCGAAAAAATTGATCAAAGACAATTTGAAAGCGGAATACTTTCTTAACGCGAAGAAAAAGTTAAAATTTAATCATCTCGATCACTCGATTATTTCGATATTGAAGAAAAACTGTTCAGATATCTCGAATAAAAGTTTATTTTCAAACGGTTAAAATTAAAATAATATATCGGGGGAATAAAACGAATTTCAACGCTAAATCGACTTTTTTTACCGTAATATAATATTTGCGCGTGGAGATAGATTCACAGGTGGCTGCGGCCTTTCAGTAGTAGCGGAACAGTTAATATGTGCAAATGGAATTCGAGAATAGAATGAAACGTGTAAAACGAAAACAGAACTGTCCATTGCGAAAACGTGTTTTGTATTCATTTTTTTTTTCGCATTAAAAAGCATGATGTCTTATTTAAATTTTATATCCTCTTTTCAATTCTCCAAAAAGCAAACGTCACTTTGCGAGAAATCAGTAGCAATTCCACTTAAAAACTTATTCGAATCATCTGGAAGATCGCCGATTGAAGTTATCCTTGCCCATCACTGATCTCTACAGCCAAGAAAAAGGTCCGTTTCCCGTTTTTCTGTCCTTCCTTTGATCCACTCGCGAATTCCTCTTCGTTCATAGTTTCATCACGATTCTTAATAAGCCAACATGATCTCTGTGCCTTTCTCTCCGTACCGTTTTCCCGGACTGCAAATCTTCACGTTCGAGACTTATTCTAACGCATTATATATTTCATTGACAAAATATATATATATATATATATATATATATAAAATATATTAATATCCAATAAGAGAAACATCAGCAATGATACTGATGTATCATTTCCTCCTTTTTGTATTATTCAGATATATAATGATATAGTTTGTATAATTCCAATATATATGGATATATAATTTATACGATATTTAACGATATTTAAGTCTCGAATATGAGATACCACGCGTTTCAAAGGGCTACGCAAGCGGAGCTACGTGTGCGTGTTGCGTGTCGCGGCGCTTTTTCGGCCTTAAAGTTTCCATCGACGATGTCGATTGACAACGAGGCAGAGAAAGGGCAAAGGGAAACGCAACGAAGGAAGCGGAAGGTGAAATTTCACGATCGTTTTCTCTTCGATCGCTTCGATTTTTTGATCGGATCAGGGTGGCCGATCGATCCTCTTTCTTTCTTTTTTTTTTTAACGAGCACGGCTTTTGAAACGCTGATACGTTAGAGGGAGGCGCTCGATCCGGCGAAGAACACCTTTAAAGCCGAAGCAGAGTCGCGAGAGAAGCAATTTTGTAACGTGTTAACGTGTCAGGCCGCTACCATCCTTTCTACGCTTTCCCTTTTTTGTTATCGATCGAAGATTACAAAAATTGCGTAAATTATTTTTCCATCGATTCTTTTTAATATTTTAATCAACGTGGGTGTTGGATTTTTACAAAGTCCGTATTAGATTGGAAATTTGTTGCGCGAATCACGCGTTAACCAACCATTTTCACGACGATCCTGGATTAAATATTAATAATTATCGGCTTGTATCTACCGTTTCTCATTATTTTTGTACATTTATTATATAATAAATCGCGTTAATATTTATTATTCTGTTTGGCTAGACACTAGACAGAAATTTTTATTCCATATAATAATCCATATTGAAATTAATTCGGTAACGAGCCATTCGTTGAAGCGTTTAATTTATTTATTTGTCAATTAATATATATCCATCCCTGTCGATAATTGACTTCACTCTAGTAGATTAATTAATTACGCGTAATCGTTCAAAGCGCCCGTTTATTTCGATTCGAATACGCACGAACAATTCACAATTCACAACAACAAGTGACGATTTACTTCATTGTACATACACACACATATATATATTTAACCGTTTGTATAAACGGTTCAAAGGAAGAAAATACTACTCTCGTCACATCCCTAACAAACTCTTCTAAACCGTGAAAGTGTTGGCAACTTATAATTCGCTTGCGAGAAAATCCGCGCGAGGAGAAGCTATCGATCAACGTTGTTCAACACGTGCTTCGAGAACAGAGTTGAAGCGCGACTCTGATGGATCTCGCGAAAAAAAGTTTTCTCAATCGAGAGGGTTATTCAACGAATAATCGATATCTCGACCGATTAACAAATTGCGTAATCCAGGGAAAGCGTAAGCCAAACATCCGCCATTTTTCGATCCTCGTCTCGCTTCCNTTTTTTTTTATTTCCGGACGTTTGGCGAACATCACACGCATCGGGACGAATTTTTTGTTTTCGTTTTGTTTGTGTAAAAAAACTGCGCTTAGAGACAGAAACAAGAGTCGATATATATATACAGATTGGTACAAACAGACAGACAGACAAAGAGACAGATAGAGACAGAAAGAGCGAGAAAGAGAAGAGAAGAGAGAGAGAGAGAGAGAGAACGAGAGGAAGAGAGGAAGAGACGAAAATAAAATCGAAAGGAGCGGAATGAAGATGAATGAATGAAGAA